CTGGATATTGTGTTGTTTTAGAAAGAATAGCAAATGTTTCTGAATCACCATCACTAGTGTGTTTAAAAAAAAGATTTCCAGTTGTTTATTCTGCATAGCCAATAAAGTTCAATAAATATTACCACATAAGGAAAGTATGCATTAAGAAAAAGAGAGAGAGAGACGCACACAAAAGTATATCGATAGAAAAATGGATAAATAAAAGAGGCGTACATGTATTTTCCGAGATAGCCAAGATTGAGAGACAGATTCACATTTTTTTCAACACAATCTTCTTTGGCTAATTATGTTGCAACAAATTTTTTCGACTCAAAACTACCTTTGAAAAGGAATAAAACTTGATTGCACTTTCCTTTCTTTTGAGGAAGAAAACTATCTTCGTATGAAAGTCAAAACAGTTTCTAATTAGATACTTCTAACGCCGAAGGCGTTCATGTCAGCGATTATTGGTCGAAGTTATGCTTAATAGGAAGTACAATTAATCAAAACTTTCTAGAATAAAATTTTAAATCTTAAGAATATGGTTACATTTATACAATTGATACTATTTACCGAAGCGAAAATCTCTTGCCGACTGATAAAAATTCTGCTTCCATGTCTTTGCTATCCAAAAACTAAATCGTTGTTAAATACCATCGATGATATTTGTTTAAGAGTTTTTACCGCCAAACGTTGCCACACTAAGGATGTGGTGTGAGTGTGGCTGCACTATGTGAGTGAAAGTGTGGTGTGACGGAATGTTAATCCGACATGCACAGGAAGACCCACATCCAGAGCCGTACTCATACCCACAGCATTATAAAACACGTACTATTCGAACTTATATGTCATACTCAAAGAATTCCAAAGGAATGATACTTTTAATATATTATTAATAAAGTAAATATAGATTGAATAGATCCCCATGTCGCAAAAACCGGATCATTTTTAGCGGTAAACCGCGGTTTACCAGCTACGAGCCGGTAAATCGAATAAAACCAGCGATTCACCGCGGTAAACAGAAAAAAAACCGCGATTAGTTGAAAAACCTGCAGTTAACTGAAAAAACGGCGGTTAACCGAAAAAAAACGCCGGTTTTCTGCTGTAAAGGAGCCGATAACCGGATCGGTAAACCGCCGGTTTTCACTACATGGGTCGTCATTTCAACAGTTCGTTGATATAGTAGAAGTATTTCATAAAAATGAGAAAAAATATCGAAGAAAATTTTTAAAATTGAGTCCAGTTTTAGTAGTCATCAAAATGTATTGAAATAGGTTCTTTTATATGCAAATGTTTTCTTTCTTGTTATTAAATTTCATAATTTTGTATGATGTCACCGTTTCAACATAACATACATCATATTATTGTATGCCATTCATGTGCATTAAATTTTAGTGAGATAACAATATTTATTAATATTCTTGATCAGTTACACCGCATTGTGTTTCGACAAAATGCAAATTTTATCAATTTCAGTTCATAGAAGAAAAAACTTAGCAAAACAAAAAGACTATTTTGTCGACAAAACATGAATAAAACGATAGCTATACATTATTTTTCTTGCCTTTGTTTAATTTGGAAAGAAGTGATAGATTACATCATCTCTTCTTTCGGGTACATGTTATTGCTTATTTAGCAAAGAGATATTTAGTTTATCACTTTCTTTTTTCCTACACCTTAAAGTAAACAATTGTTGTTAAACATTCGTAAACAAAAGACAGACTCTACAATCATAATTGTGATTGAAGTGAGTAAATTACTAAAAAGGATTTTTGACATTGGCTCAACTTGTAGTATGATTGGTTCTAAATAAGGCTTTGATTTCGATGTAGATAAGTATTTCATCGAAATTCTGGTCATTTAACCCCATCAGACTTGTAACAAACCGAATCGATTATTCAATATGTAAAATGTCGTATATATTAAAAATCGCATATAATCACGATACCGTCTCGATTGTTCAAATGTACATATCAACTCGTAGTATACCATATAATTGCGAAAAACCATGACATAGATTACACAAGCTTCTTTCTTTTTTTTTTTCGTTTCTATTCTGTTCCGCTTCATTTACTGCCCATCGTTATTATATGTGTATGAAATAGTCGTTTCATTTGCATAGAATAAAATATGCACTTCGTTTCTCATCTTCAATCTTATTTTATAATTTGTATCTTCTTTCTTTTTACAATATCTGTTGATTCAATACTATTTCTTAATTTTTGGCATTCATGTGTTGATGTATCAGTTGAAGAAAATATCTTTCCAATATCATTAATACAATCATCTGAATATTATCAAGTATGTCCGTCTGCTCGTGAACATTGGCGGCGTTTTGGTTCATCAGTATTTCGTATGCATATTTTACGAACATCTGAGCCATTAATTGATAAATACGTTGATATATATCATAATGGTTATGTTCATTTTCATAATGAAACACGAACAACAGTGGTAAGACGGTATGGAACAGAACATGAAGACTTATGACAATAAACTATCGTTGTAGTTTTTGTTTTTTTTTTTGTTTTTTTTATTGCGGACAAAAATCATCACTATAAATGTTTTTTTTTCTTAAAATAACAATAATAACAAGAAGAAAAAAAGCGTAAAAGGCGACAGCAAACAAGAAAAAAAAACAGAATATAAATAAACCAGAGCCACATTAGTGAAAAAAACAGCACCAAAAAAAAAACACTGAACTGAATAGAAATAACAAAACAAAAAAATTACTTTCTCTCTGTATGATAGATGAATATAAACTAGCTATAAATAAGAAAATGATTGTTTTATTGCATAAGATCAAGACTGTCGATCGGATGAAGACAACACTGTTGACTCGTCAGCATTTGATGTTGATGTCTAAATATTGAAAAAAGAAGTTTTAAAAAAATAAATTATTTTTTCTTTCAATTGAGAATTTAATATAGAGAGATTTCTATTTGTATCAATACGAGTAACAAGCATGCAGTATTAAATTTAATTTTTAGACAAAAAATATTTCTTTTAATGGATATTCGGAGCGTACCTCTCCGGTTCCACTAAGATGTAGATCATTCAAATGTTTATCAAGTTGTTGAGTTAGTGAATCTTGATGTTCAAGTGCTTCTTTGCCTGATCGAATTAATTCATTTAATTGTTTAGCACGAACATCAATTACCAATGCAGATAATGATGGTGATGGATGTTTAACAAGTTCAAATGATTGATCCTAGATTAATTATTAATTAGTAAAAATCATTCTATAGAAGTGTAAAAGAAGCAAATACAGATTTAGTTTCTACATTCGAACATGCATCTAATTAAAAATCAAACTAAAATATTTCTTACCACATCAACTGGTGGAGTGTTAGCAGTAACCAAAAATCGATCATCAAGTTGAAGTTTTAACGCAGAAACTTCATTGACTGTTGTATCATATACTGATTGTAAACGTTCAATTTCATTCCGAAGACGTTGAAGCTCATCATTCAATTGTTCATTCTCATTACGAATACTTTCAAGTGTAGCATCTTTCTAAAAGAAATAATTATACAACATAAATAGTCAATAAATTATTTGAATAATAAACCATACACTTTTTAATTCAGTAAGTAATGTTTCTTCTTTATGTTGCACAGTTTTTTCAATTTCTCTTAATTGACTTTCCTAAAAAAATTAAAGAATAATTAAATTTTAAATCAAGATAATAAATATTTGTTTTTCTTACAATATCATTCATATTTTTACGAAGTTGATCATTTTCAAGTTTAAGTGCTGCAGATTCTTGTTGTAAAATTTTCTAAAATATAATAAAATGAAATAATTAGATAAGATGAATAAAAAAAATTATATATCAAACACATAATTATCTTTCTCGTTCAGGTGCCTTGTTGTCAAATCTTTACATAAACGATTATGCTTATTACGAACCTTAGTATGCGACTGGCCTAAACACAACATATATTGCTTTCTATACTGTAATCAAGAGAACCTTGATACTCGGAAAGAATATATGAATGTGCATATCGGGTGGCACGGGCAAGGTATTGAATAAGACATATCATTTATGGTATCAGATGGATTAAAACTTTTCATCATTACATGAAAGATATTGTGTGCACAAGAATAGATTCGAACTCGAGTTCAGATGATTATAACCATTGAACTAAAGTAGACTTTACCTTGTTTGATTCGCTACTTGATTCAAACAGTTGTCGATACGATGATAGCCATTGATCAAAATCCTTGAGAAAAAAAATTATTAATTAATTATTTATAAATAAATTTAATAATAAGTTAATTTTTAATCGTATACAAGCAAAAAAAAGGTCGAGTCAATCGATTTATTTTCAAGTTTATTTTAGTCTGTCAGATATCGTAAATGAAAAATTTACTCCTTTACGGATAGAAAGATTTTGTAAAAATTTCTAAATTATGTGTTGTTACTCAGTACATCTTGAAAATTTCAATAATTAATAGATAAGAATTTTGTTAAGAAAAATGTAATATTAGTGTTTTTCGATAAACTTTGAAAGTTCACAGTTCTTTTGTTATATCTATTTGTAATATTCGCAAAACAGTTGTTAGTTCAATTTCTTTTATGAATATAAACATTTGTTTATTAGTAGTTGAAATATCACACCATTTAGTCAAAGTATTCAATTTTTGATTTGCTTGGTAATTTATTATACTCAACCTTGAGTTTTACATTTGGTGCTATTGAAAGAAAAAAAATTAGACCGAAAAAACAATGCGAAAGATTTTTCAGATAATTATTATTAACAAATATTTACTAAACTTCTCTACATTTAGTGATTTAATGTTAACATAGGATTTTATTTGAAATACATATAAAGAAATTTATATTTACTTGATTGTCATGAGGTAATTGATTTCGAATATCTGATGGTAGAAGATCAGTTAAAATTTGTCGTTGTTTTTCACCTTCTTGACGAAGACGTTCTTCTAATTGTGAAACTGTTAACTAAAATAAATAAATAATAAACTGAATAATAAAAAGATTTGTTTAGTTTTTTTTTTTTCTATTACTTTGACTTGATCAAGTTCAGTTCGTAAAGCACTCATTTCAGTATTTCTAGCATCGAGTTCAGCTCGTAACGTACTCATTTCAGTATTTTTACCGGCAAGTTCATTATTAAGGGATCTTAAATAGAAATAAACAATAATTATTATTTTTTTCTTAAACTAATATTTTATTTATTTTATTCTTACTCAACAATTTGTTGTTGTTCATGATTTTTATTCTGCAAAAAAAAGAAAAGAAAAATTTAATCTACTTATTAAATATTCTATCATACTTGTTTAAGTTGTTCAATATCTTGTTGTAATTCATTCTCTTGAAATTGATGTTGAGTCTAAATAAGAAAATTTAAATTCACGAAAAAAAAAGTAGCATAAAATTTACTTGTAAATCATCGACTTTCTTTTTATATTCTTCAATTTCCTCAGTTAATTTTTGTTTTAAATCATTATATTCTCGTTCTTTTTCTTGATTTAAATCTAAAGTTTGTTTTAATTGTTGAATTTCTTTTTCTAATTGTTCACGTTCTTCATTGTTTATTGTTATAGTTTGAATATCTGTTACTGTTGTTGGTTCAACATGAACAATTTCTTCACGTCGTAATTGTTCATTATCTCGTTCAAGCTGTTCAATTCGATGTTTACATTCGTTAATTTCATTTATACGTGATGTTTGAGTTTCATTAAATTTTTTATGATGTTTTTCTTCGATACGTTTTAATTCTTTTTCAGCATTTTGAAGTGATTGAGTTAATTGTTCATTATAACTAGAATACATTGCAATTAAATTAAATCTTTACATCTTTGATTTTCAATTCTCATAGAAATCCTCCGTAAGTTTCTAGAATTTTTGAGGAAAACTAATGTCAGAAGAAATTTAAAAATATCGATCACTAATAACTTGTAGCGGCAAGTCTTAGCAATATTTTGACACCAATTCGAAATCTGTATCATTAGATTTCAAGAAGAAATCTTCAATAAACTAAGGTATACTTATACAGTAGAATTTCTCTATGTGAGCACATCGTAATACTGACTAGTCTATAGTCCACTCAAGCGAATTTTGCTATGAGTGAGCTTCTCCTTATTCTGAACAGTAGACGATTATTAAAATGTGGAGCAAAAGAAAAATGATGCTTTGTATATTGTCTCATGATAAACAATCATGAGACACTTACAAAAAAAAGAGGATGAACTAGTAGTGGATATCTGAAAGACAAAAGTTGAATTATTAGATAATTTGCTTCAAATCATAGAATGTCTAACTACAATCTTTAGTTTCAGTTAGAACAAATTTTTTCTTATGGTTTCACACATCTCTAGTCTCAACGGTGCTCACGCTAGAGAGATTTTACTGTTGACGTAAATTCTTCATTAGCCGATTATTGAATTATGTTTATACACTCAGTGATTTTCATTTCGAACATTTGAAATTCAACGATCTAATCAGTCGCTTTAAAAATGTTCAATCTATTTATGTGATTCGTACGATTCTCAAATACTAAAAGCGATTATAAAGTTTTGACCCATAAACAAAATCTATGTAAGTCAGAAAGGAAGAGACTTCTTCTATCTAATGGTACATGCGTTATCAAGATTTATTACGTACCATCAAAACGTCAACAGAGAGAGCTACCATCACTGTGTCTACAGCCGAACAGAACATAGATGACATCTCTCTATTAGTATATTAGTGGTACACAATAGAACTTCGTAATATATATATACCATTAGATAGAGGAAATCTTCCTCTACTAGTCTACATGAATTTCGTTCTTGGATCAAAAATTACTGTGGCATGTATATTTGTCTTTGAATTTTCATAGGTAAAAAAAAGAATAATTAGACATCGATTACTACAGTTAAGCTTTAAACATCTTAAATATTGAGTCAAGACTAAAATATTTCTGATGTTTGTTCTTACCGAATTAAATCTTCTTTTTCTTTTTGTGCTTCTTTAGCTAATAACTCGTTGCTTTTAGCTTTTTTTTCTAAATGTGCATTATCAACTGATAATATTTTCATTTGATCAGTTAATACTTGTATTCTTAAGTTAGATGAATCTCCAGTAAGAATTGTATTCGATGTTGCAAGTTGTTGCTGTTGTAATTGTGTTAATTGATGATTTAAACGAATATTTTCTTCTGTTACTCGTTGTAATTGTAATTCAAGTTTTTGAATTTGTTGATGTTGTTGAGGATGTGCATTTATTGGTTCATGTTTATGTTGAACAGAATCTAATCGAGCATGAACTATTTGAATTTCTCGTTCTTTATCAGTTTTTTCTTTTAATAAAACATTATTACGAAGTTTTTCAGCATTAAGTTCATCAGTTAATTCTTTTAGACGTTTCATAGCACTATTTTTCATTTCTTAGAAAAAAAAAGTCAAAATTTATATTGTATAATACGAAAATAAATAATATAATACCATCTTCATAAGCTTTAGCTGATTCATCTAGAACTTGACCAATATGTGCTTGAGGATCAACTTTTTGACCATGTTGTAACTAATATTTAAATAAAAAATATATTTTATGAAATTAGAATTTTTGTTTTCATTATCTTACTTTATTCCAATCTTGTCTAAGTACAGATTGTTTATTTGCAATCCTATGCATAATAATATCTAATTCATCAGTTGACAAAGGAAATGCATCAAGTGCAGACATTAATTCAGTAACAACAACTTGAGATGATGGTAGAACTATAAAGATTATTTAATAGAATAAAAGAAACAAAAATATAAAGAAAAATGTTTACTCTTAATGAGATCAGCAATTTTTGTTGGTATTTGTTGTTGTTGTTGTTGTTGTTTTAAAGGTATTACATTTGTAGGAAGACCATTTAATTGAGTTGATATTTCTTTTTGAGGAAGTTGTTGACGTTGAGCTAATTGATCACGTTGAACTGAAACTGAAGTAGATGGTTGTACAGGAGAAGCAGTCGATGATACAGGGTTGACTTGCTAGAAAAAATAGCAAACATGACATATATATTTTATATAGTTCTTTCGAAAACTTCTATCGAATTGAAATGTGTTGAGCTCAAATAAACAATTTTTCATAAATAAAAAAAATCTTTACTAACGAGAAAATCAACCGATAGAATTTTTAGTCTCCTATGCTGTCGATAAGTACGGAATTTATAGTAAGAAGCTGAGAGTTCTTCCAGGCATAGGCCGGGATCCACAAAAACGTGAACGACAGCTTTCTTACTTGTACAACAGAAACGCCTAAACGAATATTGACTAATATATAAAGAAGTTTTATTAAAACCTCTTTCAAGAATTTTTCGACGTAGTATTATGTAGACATATATCGCAATAAATATGCCGTTGTTTTATTTATCTGTATATAAGATCGAACAGATTGAAAAATTAAAATGTCGATCGAATCTTGGATTAAGATAAAAGTCCTCATAAGGAAACATGTGTTTACCCGTAAACATTGTATATTACACGAAATTTTCAAGAAATCTAAATCTCAAAAAAACTACATTGAAAAATACTGAATTTGTTTCTATATAAGCCAGTTTAGTTGACGCTTTGATATAAACAATAATTAGAACTGTTCAGAAGGATTTTTATAAAATTTCTATATATTAAACAAATAGTAAAATAAGATTATATTCTTTTAAGCTTATTACTTATGAATTCAGATGAATTTGAATCACCTTGAATGGTTTCCTAGTAATTATATTACGCTCGGTTATAATAGACATATGACAGCTTGTTCACAGGTAACACCCTCAGCAACTTTTTTTCTAGACTCAATTAAGGAGCACATAGTTTTTACCGATTTGAAAAAACAAAAAAAGATGCCTTTGATGCATTATTTCAATATTTTGAAATGATATAGTAATGTTCAAAATATAATAAAAGACAATAAGATCCTTTTTTTGAGCAAAAAAATGCTTGATTTTGGCTGACTCCTATCATCTATTTTCTTCATTATTCAAAACAAATAACATTTTTCGATTAATAATTTGTGCTCAACTTTGGTTAAGTATTGCTATTTTTAACTCGACAGGCTAGCTAACATAATTGCTTGATAGAGAAACACATTCAACTCTTTCAATTCAATGAACGAATTCATTAAAGTCTCTGTTATTTATGCAATGAAATATCTTGAAGACTAGAAATGTGTAAGGTAAGCTTTTTTCGTATCATATGCTTTGACTGAGAAGAATTTTCTAACCCTTACCCTATCCTGCATACCTCTATCGAAGACTAAATATTTCAAAAAAAAAGACGTGATATTCAATTGTTGATATTCTTACTAATTTATTTTGTTGTTGTTGTAATGGTGGTGTTCCTGTTTTATGTCGATTACCACCAACAACTGTAAATGGTTGTTCTGGTGGTTGTTTTTCAATTGGTTGTGTTGGTTTTTTTGTTATTGCTTGTGAAGAAACAGGAAGTATTTGTTTTTTTGTTGGTTCTAATGGTTTAANGATGCATTATTTCAATATTTTGAAATGATATAGTAATGTTCAAAATATAATAAAAGACAATAAGATCCTTTTTTTGAGCAAAAAAATGCTTGATTTTGGCTGACTACTATCATCTATTTTCTTCATTATTCAAAGCAAATAGCATCTTTCGATTAATAATTTGTGCTCAACTTTGGTCAAGTATTGCTATTTTTAACTCGACAGGCTAGCTAACATAATTGCTTGATAGAGAAACACATTCAACTCTTTCAATTCAATGAACGAATTCATTAAATTCTCTGTTCTTTATGCAATGAAATATCTTGAAGACTAGAAATGTGTAAGGTAAGCTTTTTTCGTATCATATGCTTTGACTGAGAAGAATTCTCTAACCCTTACCCTATCCTGCACACCTCTATCGAAGACTAAATATTTAAAAAAAAAAGACGTGATATTCAATTGTTGATATTCTTACTAATTTATTTTGTTGTTGTTGTAATGGTGGTGTTCCTGTTTTATGTCGATTACCCCCAACAACTGTAAATGGTTGTTCTGGTGGTTGTTTTTCAATTGGTTGTGTTGGTTTTTTTGTTATTGCTTGTGAAGAAACAGGAAGTATTTGTTTTTTTGTTGGTTCTAATGGTTTAACTTGAACATTCGATTGTTGTTTAGTTGTTTCAACTTCATCTTTAGCATTCGATTTTGGATGTGTTACTGGTTGTGCTCGAGTTGTACTTGGATTTTTGTCATCTTTAACCTTAGTTTCAACAGGAGTTGTTGTTGGTGGAACTGATGGTGTAGGTGTAACAGATTTATTTTTATTACGTTTACGAGACTTAGATGATGTTTCAATAGTTTGTGATGATGCTTTTAATAATTCCTAATATTAAAAATTTTACTTTCTTTTTTTTTTAAGATAAATTTTTATTTATTTACTTGTTCACTTTCATCTCTTTCATCATCAGTTTCTTCACTTGTTTGTACTATTGGTTCTTTATGTTTATTTTGTTGTTGTTCATCACCTTTATTTTCACGTTTAGATTTTTTTTGATCTTTACGTTTTTTCTTTGAATTTTCAATAGTTGTTTTATCTTTTTTCTTTTTATCATTTGTTGAGTCCAAAAATTGATTATTATCATCAATTGTTAATGAATTCGATTGATTGATTTTCCATGCCAAATAACCAAAGAAACCAATTAATGTTGTAATTATTACCAAAGCAATCAGAATAGCTAACCAGTCAATCATGTTTTAGTTTTATCTATTCGATCAATTTTTATTTTTGGTTTTATAAGCACACTCTCACTCACACAACACACGCACAGATAAACGATCTAAAACACGTTAAAAAAACGAAGGGAACGAATATAAATCAAATAAAGAAGAAGCAGAAAATAATTTTTTCATATCAAAAGACAGCAGCTGGAATTAAATTTCGTCCTACGCGCACATATTCTAAGACGAAAATGATAAAAAAAAAGAACTAAAAAGGGAGCGAGAGAGGGAGAAAAAAGAAAGTATTAGCTCTCTATCCTATATAAACAAGAGAAGACGATATTATCATCTGATATGACACGTGTATATATTTTCAATGAGAATTTTTCTTGAAATTTTTATTTTTATTGGAGTAGAAAATAATTTATAAATCAAGATTTAATTATGTTATTTATTAACTAATTCAATTGATTAATAAAATAAAAAATGAAGGCTTCAAAACGTTACAAATGGTGGAAATTCGTCCAATTAGAGTTAAGTTTTGCAATCATGTTACAATATTAATGAAAAAAAGAACAAAATTTGATAATAAATACTATAAAAACATTTTAAAAAGATTTTTTTTCTTATTTTAAATACATCATAAAAAAGACCAATCTATCGATTATACGATGGTTGACTAATTTTTTCATATGATTTTTGCCACTAGGTCAGTCATTGCTTATAGTATATCAACAAAAAAGAATTCAATTTAGAAAGTTGAGTGATATTTGTAACAGTCCGAAGGAATAACTTTTTCGTAAGATTTTCAAATACAATTATTTTTCTCTGGAAATGGAAGAACAAAATATGGACTACATTTTGACGAACAAAAATGACGTTGCCTAACGATCTAATCTTGTAGTTCAAAAAAAAAATTTCTTCACGTAAATACGGCAGTAGAGAGTTGACATGTGTATCATGTCTAGAGATTTTCATGACCAAGCTTTTTTCTGATCTGGTCTAGAGAAAACTATTTCAGAATTTCTTCTTTTGACACGTAAAACAATTCTTCTAAGGTCTTTTTTTGATTTATTTAGTAGATGTCTAGCACTTTCCGGGATGATCTGTCTTGGATTATGTCCTGATTTATATGATTAATAAAATAATTTTCTTAAAACTTTAGAATATTTTTCTATCATTTTGAGATCCAAGTCAGGGAAATTTTTTTTCTTATGGTCTCAATTGTCAATATGTAGTTTGTACTTTTTCTTCTATATCTTCATATGGATTCGTTTTTTTTTTTTTCTAAAAATTTTCAGAGAAAAATAATTTTATTTGAAAATCTTACGAAAAAGTGGTTACTTCGAACTCTTATAAGTTCAGTTACAACTCAATTTTTTGAGTTGAACTTTTTTGTGGATATACTACAGATGATGACTGTACTAATGGGAAAAAGCATGTGTCCAAAAGTAGCTTTTTAACCAAGTTACACCTAAAACAAAATCCTATGAAAAATTTTTTCTATCACTGTAATATATCTCGGGATATTATATTTATATATTACGAGAAGACGCGATAGGAAGTAGAAATGAGATATAGTACTGATCAATATTAAGAATCGCTCGAATGGCTTTCATTCTGTTCGATCTTTAAAAAAATCTTGTTCACACTACATAGATAATACAATAATTATATAATAATCTATTTTACTGCCAACTAAAATAATTTCTTTCCTTTCGAATCGTTATTTTAACCATAAAGGGTTGCCATTTTTATACTACACTTCTACGCTTTATTTCTATTAATAATTGCATTTTATTCCTGAAAACGGATTTTATCATGAATGGAATGTAAAATCAAATCGTTTTTCAATTCATAAATCTGTATGCAAAGCTGAATCAACCGAAAAAGTTTTTAAATTTCTCCTTAATTTTTTCTTATTTTGTAAATAATTTATGTACATAAGTAAACAATAGAGATATCTTTTCCTTAGAAATCCTTAATCTTAAATTTGAATGAGATAGTATTGTTTCTTAGTTTAGTCTTTTCTGTATGGAAGACGATCACTTTTGATCGGAGTGTCTTTTTCTTTGCTTTACCCCTTGAGAATGTTTTTACCGTGGAAATAAATATACGTTTTCGAGACTGCGACAGCATAGATATTTGTATATATATGGATAATGGACAGAATCAGAATGCACTAGAAGAGATAGAACTCATATGAAGATAACAGAAATACTACACGACAAATTGACAGCAGCTATCGTCAATCATCGAAGACTCAAGGGAGCAGTATAGAAGCAATAGGTCTAGTTGCTAAAGGAAGAAAGAAGATGAATGAGAACACAATAAGACTGATAGTTTCCAGATATGAGTATTTCCACCGGATGTCGCCAGTCCATCCGGCGACCTCGTCCAAATCTACTGAAACTTTCAGAGTTTGTAGAGCTTTCTGCGCTGATAATTTTGGTAACAAAATTTTTAGAGTTAGACCTCATTTTTGCAAAGATACAGGGCAAATACTATTAGCACTTTTTTTGCATTTTTGTAAAAATCGATGAAATTCCACTTTTTTTCGGTCAAATTTTGAAACCAATGACATATTCAGATTCTTCGTGAGAAGCTGCACTAGAATTCATAGGAATCGAAAAAGTTTTCACCGACTTTTGTGCGGTCCTGTTGTTAACTTTGTGAGGAACATTGTTGAAAAAAATCAATCAAAAAGTTGGAATGAACGAGTAAGTTGGCATAGACAGTTCGATAGAGAGGCACTTGCTCTACAACGTGGACTATTTACTTTTCTCCACACATTCGATTTGGAAAGCAGCGGTCGTCAAGGATACTTTATATCACAATTTGTTAGATTTTTTTTACATTTTGACCATTAAAAGTCAATTCTAGTGCAAAATAAATATGATATTCAGAATCAGCATAAAAAACTGCATCAAATACCTTATATTTCAGCGAAATATTGTTTCCACCAAAATATGACCCGTAGGGGAGTACAGGACAAAATTCAAAAATATATGGCTGAGGGGAAGTATAGACGAAATTTTGGTGGAAAAAATATTTCGCTAAAATATAAGGTATTCGATGCAGTTTTTTATGCTGATTCTAAATATCATGTTTATTTTGCACTAGAATTGACTTTTAATGGTCAAAATGTAAAAGAATTCTGAAAAATTGTGATATAAAGTATCCTTGACGACCGCTGCTTTCCAAATCGAATGTGTGGAGAAAAGGAAATAGTCCACGTTGTAGAGCAAGTTTCGCTCTATCGAACTGCTAATACCACCGTTCTGGTTCATCCCAACTTTCTGATCGATTTTTTCAAACAGTGTGTTTCTCTAGTACATTACTTAGGGACCTAGTGGACTGTATAAAATTCGTCAAATCTTTTTAATTCCTATGGATTCTGATGCAGTTTTGCATGAAGAATTCGAAAATGTGATTAGTTTTAAAATCCGAGTAAAAAAAGTTGGACTATCATCGCTATTTCGATAAAATTAGCAGTTTCATTTTTTGTTGTTGTTGAAAAAAGTGAATTTTTCGTATTTGACCCATATCTTCGCGAAAACAGAGCTTATTTAAAAAAGGTTTATTATCAAAATGATCAGCGAAAAATTCTCTACAAACCCTGAAAGTTTCAATGAATTGGGGCGTGGTCGCCGGACGGAGCTGGCGACATCCGGTGGAATGACCCATATATATGTCAAATGGCAAGTTCATAGTCTGTAGGACTGTCTTTGTCATCAAAGTATCATAAGTGACTAATAGCATAGCCGTCAAATGACCTTTCATTCGCTACCTTCTAGTTAAAACTTCCGAGCTATACCACTATAAAAGATATGCTCAAGCTCGTTACTAATTGAATCCAAACTAAAGCATATGTATATGTGTTTCCTATCCCAAAAGAGTTAAAATCAAACTTTTATTGCTATCGTTCAAAAAGCATTTCAACCATCGCTCAAAATTTTCTGTCAAATGATTTCAATTCATAAAGACTCGAACGCTCTACTATAGACATTTATCTAGGGTAACTTCTTTAACATATTTTTTAATTAAATGCTCTTCTATATAAAAAGATTGTCCCAGGCTTTGGTCAAAAGTAAAATTGTTGAAAAGTGAGGTAGACACTTCTGAATGTTTGCTCTTTCAAAAAACATAAAAAACCACACAACTAAACTCGAATCAAATGTTGATTATTGACCTTAAATAATGTTCTTATTATACAATCATAGTTCTTTTTTCTGCTACGATAAAACATAAATCGTCAAGGAGATCAGGTGCTATAATGAGATAATTATTATATTAATTATTCAGCATGTTTATTCGACTTTATAAATGCTGTTGTTTATTTGTTTTTCTGCTATAATGCATCAGAAGATCATTGACGCACAATATTCTCTACAGGTTTTTCTTTTGTTTTTAAAAAATTGATCAAATCCTATATATTAAGTGAATTCGATAAATACGAGAATTTATTCTATTAGCATAATAACCTGCAAATGAAGTGTGAATGTGTCTCCTCTTCAACTACAGATTTTCACTCGATAAGCCGATATTAATAATGTAAAAGTGAAATCTTTCTAAACAACCATTCAATCAGAATTGTTATTTTTTATGATTATAATATTTTTTTTCGATATTTTGTACTTTCGATCACTATTGAATTTATTACCTAAAAATGCTCCAAAAAATACGCAAGTACTTGTTTGAATGTCCTAAGTAAGAACATTCAGTATACTTACGAAATAAATTCATATAGAAAATTTAATGAATGTTTTCATTCAGATAATAATCTGCTACTAAAATTTAAAAGTTTGCATCAATATATGTTGTTTATTTCAAATAAAGAATATCTTGCATACTGATAAAATGATTGTTTAAAACAAACATACATATTCACACATCTGATAATATAAGAAAGGTGTGAGTTGCGTCCTCATTTCTTTTTTTACGGTTTTGTTGATGTTTCATCTTGTTAAAATTTATCTCTTCTTTTGTTTGTTATAGTTAATATATTAAATTTAGTGTTGAATATGTTCGAAACAGGCTAGTGTCAATTCAGCAAAACAGAACCGAAGATGATGAATAAACAAACGATTGACACTTCATCTTCAGAACAACAATATAATCGTATAATCGTAGATGCATCTGAAGATTCAGCAACCATAAGCAGTACAATCAATACCATGGAAATAGAAACCGACCCTTTATTAGATGAATATCAAGTAGAACCATCTTCAGCAGGTTTCTTCTTATGTTCAAAATTACATGCACGTTATACCGTTGCTATATGGGCTTTCTTTGGTTTCTTTTGTTTATATGCAATGCGAGTTAATTTATCTGTAGCTATTGTTGCTATGGTCAGGAAATTGATTATTTGAGATGTAAAATTTTGTAATATTTCTTATAGGTAGCACCACAAAGTACATTAAATCAATCAGTTGAAGCATGTCCAGCAGCCGAGAAAAACTCAACAAAACCTCCAACAGTAAGTGTTCTATTGCTTTGTTGTTCTATCTATTATTGACATAAATTTGATAGAAATATGAGTTTGATTGGGATCCATCTAAAGAAGGAATCATTTTAGGAGCATTTTTCTATGGTTATACTGCTACTCAAGTGTAAGTCGAATTAAAAATATGTTCTTCTTATTATTATTTTTATCATAAATCTTTTCTAGGATTGGGGGTAACAAAAATTTACAGATAAATTCTATAAACAAACGTATTGTTGATAGGAAATTTAGCAGAGAAATTTGGTGCGAAATGGATATTTGGTGGAGGCATATTTATAGCTAGCATTCTGACACTCTTAACACCAGTCGCCGCTCGTATTCATTATAAACTACTCATCGCTATCAGAGTAATAATTGGCATGGCTTCTGGTCCAGCATTTCCATCTGCAGCAGCTCTCTGGGGCAAATGGGTAACGAAATATTCAACCGAAAATATTTATTTTGCTTGTTTTCTATGAAAAGGTACCAACATCGGAACGTAGTACTGTTCCACCGGCAGCTCAGACTGGTACTAGTATTGGTATAATATTTACAACACCATTAGTTAGTATAATGACTGAAAATGGATTCATTGGTGGATGGCCATCGGCATTTTATGTTTTTGGTATGATAATAATAATAAAATAAAATAATTATTTCTCTATGATTAGGTATTGCATCATGTATATGGTTTATATGTTGGTGTTTTTTTGGTTTTAATTCTCCAAATGAACATCCACGTATTTCAAACAAAGAACGTCTTTTTCTCAATAAACATATACCACCACGTCCATCGAAAGTATGTAAAGAAAAAAAACAATACAGCAGATTTCATTAGTTTCGTCCCGGGTTCAAACTCATCTCACTAACTTGTTTAAAAACCAGAAATCCTATAAAAAATTGATACACTTCGTAGCCCTTAGCAGCATGTATTTTCAATAAAATGTAGTGCTCATCAATCTGCTTTGATTCTATTAGAAGTGAGGTGATTAGCATGAGCAAGATGATATTGATCCTGATTCCGACGAGATGTGAGCCAGCGCTTTTTTATTCTGAGTGATATCTTTTATAGTCGTACAAGGCTTACATGAAATATCATATTATTAAGAGTCATGTGTTCTAAAATTTTATGCGAAAACTATTGATTAACGATCACTTTATTATTTATTGCTTCAATTTCGATAATAAAATCAATCGTTTTGTTCGTAAACAACAGAATTGTTGACCACATAAACGTACAACATAGGCGAAGTTGTAAAGAATTAAAAAAAGTAATGAATCTCCAAAGAAGGAGCATATTAGGGGCCATGCGGATAATGTAAGATGTGTCGATCTCATTGATACTACTAGAAAATGATACTGCATTTTTCGCTTTTACATGTATAACTAAGGGCAAAATCAGAACCAGAAATTTCTCAGACTGAGACTGGAACTAAAACCAAGTGATTCTGTTCCTCACTAGATGAGGTCTTTTGAAAAGCTATTACTGGGTTGCAATTAGGACCAACGTAAAAAGTGGAATGCTCAAGAGAAATACCAAGTAATGTTTCTCTGATTCGCTTTTAACTCATTGATGTCTCTTCATAATTGTTGTCAAATTTTCGACATTTTAATTCCATGTAAATTTTAAGCATTATGACGTCTTGCTGAGCACTACGTTTTTTATGAAAATGCATACCGCTAAGTACTAGGGAGTGTACCCACTATTCATAGAAATAGATCTTTTTATAAGCACTAATGAAAAGAATTTGGATGTGATCCGAAATTCTAAATTCCGAAAAGAGCAGTTTACCATAATATTGTAAATTTATATTTTAATTTTTCTCGAAGCACCGAAGTACACCATGGAAGAAAATTGCTTGCTGTCCACCTGTTTATGGTCTGGCTATAATGCATGTCTGTTATAACTATATTTATTATACTTTATTAACATCATTACCCACTTATTTTGCTACTATACTTAACTTTAATTTACAACAGGTTTAATATTTGTTTAGTTTTATTGTTTTCATTTCTTTTTATTAAGAATGGTTTTATTTTTGCTTTACCTTATTTTGTACAATTTTTAATAACCATTATTGTTGGTCAAATAGTTGATCGTCTACGAGCACGTAAAACATTTTCTATTACAACACTTCGAAAAACACAAACGATTATTGGTAAAATAAAACAAAAACTAATTTTTGGATAAGTAGAAAACAAGTCCTATTTTATATATATATTTGAGGTACTATTGGGACATGTGGATTTTTAGTAGCTATTGGTTATATGGGATGTAATCAATTTCGTGCTGTTCTTTGTTGTATTCTTGCTGTTGGTTTTCTTGGTTTACAAACATGTGGCGCAATTATTTCACATCTTGATATTGCATCAAATTATGCTGGTAAGAGATTATATAGATTTGATTGAATTAGAAAAGAAATTTTGTAATTAGGAACACTTGTTGGTATTACAAATACATTAGCAACAATACCAGGTTTTGTTGGTCCATATGTTGTTGGAGTCATCACAAAAAATAATGTAAGATTTTTTATTTTTTCTAGTCTATGATGAATATCAATTGAATATTTACTTATAGCAAACAATTAAAGCTTGGCGTCTTATATTTAATATATCAGCCGGTGTTGGTGCTTTTGGTAGTCTTGCTTATTGTGTTTTATTCAATGGTGAAGAACAATCATGGAATCGAATAGAACATGAAAACGATACAAATGAATCGACTAATGCTTGAAGAAAATAAAAGATTCTACTTTTTTTTAGTTTTTATTTTTTTTATTTGTTATACTGAAACCTTTGTTCAATTTTCACCTCAAAGAGAAAAAAAGAATGCATGTTGAACATCTAAAAAATGCAGTAATCTATGAAACTAATGATATTTAATAATGATCATTGAATGATAAGCATTATGTCCAGCAATTCGATGTAAATTGATGTTATTCAATTTAATTACTATTTTCTGTTTTTTTTTTGACTTATGGATTCATTCTATAGTTAAAATGTTAACTATATTAAAAATGATTATTTGAAAAAACTAGATAGAAAATGTTTTAAGCTTTTTATTCTTATATGTTTATTAGCATAGATATTCAATATGTCATTGATGAGCATAGTAAATTAGTCTATAATATTTTACCTAGTTGTCCAAAGCGTTTTCAATTATTTCCTATTCTTATTAAATATTGTTTTCCCAGCTGTTTGATGTCATACTATGTGCTTTTCTACGTGTTCTTTCATAATTGTCCAAATCGAATAGTTCATTAGAGCAGCTGCAAAAAGTATGGATAAACAATTGTCACGTGTAATAACTAGGATATGAGATACTCTCATACCAATAATGATCTTGTTTACAATCTGATCTGACGTATTGGCTTAATGAAGAATAATTTTCTCACGTGTATCATCAGAAATAAATATGGAATATCATGCTTGATAAGATGTCAATGAGTTTTATCATGAGTGCTTGCCCCTATTGAGAGCAATGCATTCATAGAATGTCAATTATTTCATAGGATTTTTGCTTCATTTTTCTGACAATCCATCAGTTCTAACATAATATATATATATATATTTAATATGTTGAATTGGATCATAATGAAATTATATTCTGTCGACAGTTAGCATATTTTGTTTTTCATGGTCGTCTAATTGACCATAAATATGCTAAGTCCTGAATAATCTCTCGTCGATAATAGCTGGATATAATTAATGTATTGATTTCCTTGCCGACATTTCGCAAACATAATAACACTAATAACATGACAAACTTGTGCCAACATTGATATAACATTTTTGTTATACTCATGAAAGAAACTGTTAAAGAATTTTATTTATGTACGTTAAATAAAATGACAAACAATAGCATTTGTTGCTACATGACATCAAAGATAAAAATTTAGTTTTTCATTATTTACGAAGCGTAATTTGTGTTGTTTTCCAATTTTACTAGTAAGAGGATTCTTCTTACCATTTCAATGTATTCACATTCATTTTACATAATTCTTGCTGAATCACAAAATAGAAATATTTTTTCTTTAAAAGATTTATATTTTTAGATAATAATTAGTAAAAAATGCTTTCTTGATATATCATAAATGCAAAGACAAGCTGATAGTCATTAATGAATATTGATAAATTATTTCAAAGAAAAATAAAATACTTTTAACTTGCTCTATTTACTATTCAGAATAGATGAAACTAATCTTTGTAGAAGTTTTTTCGTAATCTGGAAATTTTCTTGTCATTGATTTTTGTTTAGTTTTAGCAAAGGGTTAAAGTACACTGTATAAGCGGGTAATAAGTGCATTCTTTGTCTTTGTTGAATTAGCAGAGTCTACAATCGATGCTTAGTTGTTTTCCAACGTGATCATCATCGATACGATCATACAATGAAGTAACTGTTTCTGCTGATTTTGATCGATATGACCATGAAATGAACTTTAATTCATACTGAAAATTGCCCTATATGAGTTATTATTCTCAGCATCAGTTCAGAATCGATTTGTCATACTCTAAAATACTTGTCTGATATGTAAATATAAAGCCTAACAAATAGAATTTTAAACCTCAATCAGTCGAATATATTAAAAGATAAAAGTGATCCAACTGTTGTATTTCCTAATGATATTCAAAAGTACTGCTGTTTCATATTTTCCATGTTTAAAATAAAGCAATAGAAATATTCATGGTTTTTGGATGATATAGATTTTTTCTTACAACTATCGCATAAAGTAATCCATTAGATCTTTAGTCGTTATATCATTACGTGAATATTAATCTAATTTATTCATTTGTAATGCTACTATTCTGTTGATTATCTATAATCAATATATCATTAGATGATGACATCTAACATGCTTTTCAAATTTCTATCGAACAGTATGTGGGACTTATTAACAAATATGATATATTTCTGCGTATGTAAATATATAAAATAATACGAATACAACCTTTCTATATAAGGAAATAGTAAAAAAACATGAGTGCAAAAAGACAAATTGCAATAAGTTGTTACTAAATATACGTCGTAATGAAATGTAGAAGCAGTTGTTTTCATCACTTCTTTTATTAATCATTTGTCTCTCCTCCACAACAGCCCACTAATTGTCATTAAAAGAAATACTGATTAGCTACAGGCATACAATACTAAGCTGATAGAAAATAAACTATGTTTTATTTGTTTGACATAATATGTCATAACAATCTCGAGTGATGACAAGTTATTTGAAAACAAAATATTGATTTTATCTTTCAAACATGAAAAGTAAATAGACCAGAGAAAAATTTGATTGATGATATCAAATAAATTAGAAATGATATAAAAAAAAACGACGAATAGGCTTAATTTTCTTTTGCTGTCTTTTCCTATTTATTCAATAATTAATTTATAAGTTTGGCACAATAATATCATGTGTCTTCTATTGTCGGTTTTTTTTCTGTCATGTCATTTTTGGCATAGGGCTTCTTGTCACAAATCACAAGTTATGTTGATAGATTTTTGCTTTGCTTCTAATATCAACACCACAAGTTCTTTCGCCTCCCCATTTACGAGACCAATCGACAAAATACTGACGGATAGAGTACGGGGCGAAGATAGAAAAATACGATGAAATAAATAGTTGCCTCTTGTGTTATACATCTGTAAGAAATATATTAGAAAAAAACAGAGATGGAATGCGACTTAACTAAGCGTCGACCTTCATTAATTCCTGGATGCTTACCTGGTTTACCTACTGGATGGACACCAATAATAGATTCAGTTGAAGAAGGTGAAAATGATGGTGATAAATATTTTAAAAAGTCTTCTACATCTAGTGGACTTTCTCATTTACCCTCAATAACAAGTTATGAAACAAAACCATATTTAACAATAAAAAAGTTTTATTTAAAGGATCATCCAGCTATGTCGATGGCACATACACATGGTGTATGTGTTTTAAATACTGAAGCCGAAGAAATCATAGCTTGTGATCATTATAATAATCGTTTACTTATGTTTGATTCAAATACCGATGGACATTTATTAGAAATATTTCGTGGTGATATGGCAACACCGGAATGTGTTACACCACGACCACATTATCGACAACAAATTTATATAACAAAAGCACATTCAATTTCATTGTATGACTTAGAAAAAAAACATTTTATACAAAAATTAGGTAGCGAAGAAAGTGGTCATGCTAACAATCGATTCAGTTCACCCTGTGGCATTACTGTTGATCCAGCTAACGGGTAAGTTCGAATTCGGCAAGACAAATATAATATTTCATTTATTTTTTTTTTCAATGTTTTCTTATTTTTGCCTAGAGAAATTTATGTGTGCGATACATGGAATCATCGAATATGTGTTTTTTCACCAGATTTTCGCTATGTTAATCGTCGTTGGTATTTAACACGATGGCAACAAGCACATCATAAAGTAAAACCAAATTTTGTTGCTATTAATCGAACTAATGAATGTGTTGTTACATGTGATGATGCACCAAATTATCGTGGTGCGGTTTATGTTTTTGATAAAATGGGTTATATACAAAAAATTTATGATCATGAATCACGTAATAAACCTCCAAATGCTGAAGCAAAATTAAATGTTCCACATGGAATATTAGTCGATGATGAAGGTAATTGGCTAACATTATGTTATTCAGATCCTGAATCATGCTGGGTTGAAAGAAGATTTAAACCACATCAACATGAAGAACATGAGATAATAACGTATTGGCGAAATAAAGAATTAAAAGGTCCTAGTGCATTAGCTATTAAACGTGATCAAACATTAGTTATTGGTGATCAAGATGAAAATGCAATTTGTTTTTTTAAACAAATTCAAACCAAATGAAACTATCAACTTAGGAAGAAAAAAAAAGTTTGATAAACATATCAAAAGATTGTTTTTTTTTCATTTCTATGTATATTCATATATGTATGTTTAGTGAAGTTTTTCTCAATTAATTAGCAGTCTTTTCTTTTTATCGCTTATTTTTCTAATCTTCTTGGTTTACCAATTTTCTGGTCGAGAAGTTCTTTATGTAATCAAAAGCATCGCACTATTTGGTTGAATAAATATTTTCACATACCAGCACTAGTTATTCTTTAACAAAAAAAAAACATAAAACAAACATTGTGCAATACATTACTTTCCTTTGCCAAGCATTTGATGATGATTCACAAACAATAACATAATTAGATTAATGTAATCTCTGCTGGTATTATGTATTAGTTTTCCAATGTCTGTATGAAACCATACCGATGAAAGATAATAGATTCATATTACAAGGGATTCTTCTGGTACTTACACTATGTAGAAATGAGATCTGTTCGTATTTTCTGAGATTCATGTAGAATCAAACCTTGTGATAACTTGATGAATGCATGAGAATATCAATTTTATGTTGGATTGGTTCGAGTCTTTGTATGAGGCATAACTGATACTATCTCTGATAATACAAGTAAGACAAATCTCCTACAGTCACCGTGATAGATATAATAAATAAATCATCTACTATTTATTTACCTTCATCTTTTAGCTGAATGCTTAACTGAATGATCAAATGGAGTTATACGGACTATGTAAAAATTTCCGAAACAGATTTTTGTTTTAAATCATTGTTCTTCCATTTAATAAAATGAAACTTTCTACAACTTTGATAGATTATCGTATTAAATATATATGAAGTTTGAGGTTAGGAGTATCGTATTAGCATTTATTAATACTAATGATAACATTTTAGA